TCCCACGTCGGAGCCGTAGGGACATGGTCTGAGAAGACTCACGAGATATTTGGACCTATTCCCAGTAAACCCTCAACAAAGCCTATGGTGCCACATAAGCTGATCATTATCCACAATATAACTCCAGCAGTCTGCTCAGCATCCATTGGGTTTTGTCTGCAACTCGTGAACTCCTGAGGCCACTCCACTAATGATCTGGGGTTGCAGCTTGATTTCAAACCTGTCGATCGTGTACGTACCCGTCCAAAAGTTGAGCTCTCGAATAAACTGGCAGAAGACAATGTTCTGATAGCTGGCCACAATCTCGCACGGATCCAATAGGTGTCAGTCACGAAGAACCGGCCTGTATTGGGTACAGACTTGACAGGAGCAACAACGGGGAAACGAAAGAACGCCTGGACATCGTGACAGTTTCCGTTCGGCTTGAACCTGAATCGGGCATAAAGACTGGAGATTCGAGTCACCAGCTCATCTGAGTTGCTGCGTACACAAGGTTCTTGATACGGCCAAGTCTCATGCAACGTGATGCTTCACGTGTCGACGCAGCATACAGCGTCAATGTTGCAGGTCACAACAAAATAGAGTACTGTTCTTCGCAACACCATCGAGGACCATCTTTCCCATCTTCCCTGCAACCCCTGCCGAGTACTCTTACACTGTGGCCCTCCGGTACTTTTCGTCAACCCATACTCATAAACGTGGTAATTACAAACCCAGTATAAACTGCCATCGAGGTCGCCTCACCGTTGTTCCTCGCTTGTGTGAACGCATGTCGGCGATGATTGACGTCGTATCGGATACGTCCATTTCATTGCTGCTCGTAGCCATCAATTGACGAACCTTCTCCGTTCTCGATTGTCATCGTCTCTGGCCATGGGATACGCAACCTGCGAACGTATTCATTGGCTCGGGAGAGTTCAGAGTCGATCTGTGAACACTTATCAGGAAAGGGACTTGTCTCTCGCCTTGAGGGTCAATCATCTCTGTCCCTTGTATACACGATGGCTATTGTTGCACGAAGAAGAAGGCGGCGTCCGAGGGGCACATGCGCTTCGAAAGATCTGGCTTCATTTCGCCTCGATCCATGATAAGAGGCTGCGAAGGCTATGGAGCCGTAGATCTTTTGGCCGTGTGGTTCCATTCAGTTGTACGCAGTCGACGAATTCCCCCATGGTGCACCGTAGGGAAGGTCGATTTCTCAGGAGACTGAGGTATACCATGATGAGGCCATGCCCCATCCGTGACACCATCAGCTCCTTTATCGAAAGACTTGGCAGTCTAGCAAGAGGTTGGCGCCCACGTGAGGCTCTAGATGAACCCCGGATATTCCGGTCCATAGTCACATGAACATGCCGAAACCCCAAATTGAGCACGACGATCGTGGTGCGTATCGCGCCCGGCCAAGCTGACTGATCAGCTGAGACATGCAGGGCTCGCATGTTTCTCAGACGATTTTGACTGCTCATGCTGTTTAAGGAAAGGGGGGCTCTCCGTACTACGTAGATCATCGTCTATCATTAGAACCAAACTCCCTCCCCAGCCAAGCAGTTGCGCGACAAGAATTGAAACACATATCCTATCGTGACAGGAGGAGCAGAGCAAGAAGTCTGTCTTCGTCTCGAGCACACATACCCGAAACACCGCAATGGAACAGGCCAAGCCAGG